GAGGGGGTAGGAAAACAAGAGGGATCGGAAGACTGTATCAGGGGAGGAAAAGAGGAGAGCAAGAAAAGAGATACCTTAATAAAGGGAGCCAGTTTAGGTTTAAAGAGAAATCTGGCACTAGGGGAATGAATGTTCAGAGATTCACAATGATGACCCCAACTAAGAATCTAGGCAGTAGTGGAGAGGCAGCCTTTGATGCCCTTCCACTTTAATGAGATTGATGACTACCTTAATTGCCATAGTAGAGTATTCATCCAGTAGCTGATGGAAGCAGAAGCAGGCACCCACAACTAAGCACTGAGTCATACTCCTGGAATCCAGTTGTAGAGAGGGAGGAGGGATGAGCAAAAGAGTCAAGAACATTCTGGAAAAAACTACAGAAACTGCTAACCTGACCTAGTGAGAGCGCAGGCACCCCAGTTGTCATGTTGGAGAACCAGCATTGGACTGAAAAAAAGCCCTATGAATGTGAGTGCCAGGTAGGAGGCCTGGGCACTCTATGGGACCTCTAACAGTGGAACCAGTATGTATCCCCTAGTGCACAAATGGATTTTGTATCCAATGGAGGGATACTATCTCAGCCCAGATACATGGAGGGTCTACACCCTTCCACAAATGATGTGACAGAATTTGATGATCCACAATGGAAGGCTCCACTATCCTTGAGGAGCAGGTGGGGGGGGGCTGGGGGTTGGTAGGGGGCATGGGACGATGGGAACTATAGGCAACAAGGCTAATTGATAGGTAAAATGATTGTTTCTAAATAAAAAAAGAGAGAAAAGTCATTTTGATCAAATAACTACAATCAATCATTGTCATGTCATCATATAGGGAAAGAGGAGAAATACTTCAATTTTGTAAAAAGCATGTATAAAAACATATAGGTAACGTCATATTTAATATTGAAATACCAGCTGCTTTTGAGTTATGATCAGGAACAAAGCAAGGATCAAATTCCCATCACTCTTATTTAATAGCCAACCTGAAGTCTTAGGTAATAGATAAGAAAAGTAAATAAAATGTATATACAGGAAAGTAGTAAATGAAAAGATATTATGACTTAGTATGTAGAAAATCCTGGAGCGAACAAAAAACCAGTCTTAAACTAATGTGAATATAAGAAAATCTCCCATTATAAGGTTAAAATAAAAGAAAATGTTCTTTTCATATCAATAAAGAATAAGCAAGTGGTATTTCAAGTTAAAAGCATATTATTATTATTTACATGAATACCAAGGAAAACCTTTAAATGTAAACATAACACAATATGTGCAGACTCATATGAAGAAGACTGTAAATTCTGATGGAACAGATTAAAGAGTTTGTAAATTAATGAGGACATACACCTTAATTGATGCTGTTAAAATTCTCATTGCCCTATGGATCCCTAAATGAAGGGAATCAACAGAATGTTGAAAGCCTTGGAGAGTTGCTGGAATTGAGTCCAGGTTGAATAGCTGGACTCTGATGTCAGCAGGTGGCAACAGCAATAGAAACAAGTAAGACTTGACACCCTATATGTTGCCTTTATCCCACTTCTTCATTGGAAAAGTTTACCCTACAGATAATATTTCCCTTAATCAGGGCTGTGGTGGTATATTATTTATGATTTATTAAAGCTTGTCTGAGAATTCAGAAAGCAAAGTCAGCCTCGAGCTATTGAGGTCACACACCTTTAATCCTAGTACTCAGGATTAAGCAGTAGAATGATATCTGTGTGTCTAAGGCCACCCAGATCTACACAAGATTTATTCAGTCTTAAAGAGAAACAGCTCAGACAAATATGCCTAGTTCTTCAGTCTATGGGAACTGGGAAGTTAAATTGGGAACATCATTGTGCATAAATGGTGATGTCTTAGGGCATAGATAGTATATTATTGACACAGTGGATCCAAAGAGGCCCCAGGAAGGGAGTGGCAAGCAGTGACCTTCATAATGCCATTGAAAGCATGGGGAGTGCCAAAGAGAATTAGGAGCAGGGTCTTTAGCAGTCAGTAGGAGGCATTCATTCTCCAGCCACATTGAGAATATGAAGATATTACAGTCTCAGGATTCTCCAGTCAGGCTGAGTAGAGGTTACAGTTGATTTTTGATGGAGCCAGGATCATCTTTCATTCTGAGGTGGAGTAAGAACTAGTGACAAGCTGCTTTGCTTTTCTGATCTTCAACTTGAACCCAATATCAGTCTCTGGGTTTTTCATTTATTGTGTTACACAGGGCAGGTGCTTCATGACTATTCACTGCTTGGCATGTCAGTGCTATCTGAAAATGCCTTCATGGCCATAGAGATGCATTGCACAAGTTCCTCTACCTAGTTATGTTGTCACTTCAGGTCAACTATCAGACTAGCTCTTTACAGCTTGATCATTATAGATTCACTATAGTCTTAACCAAACCCCTCCCAAGTTGTTTTCTGATAATAAACCAATAAAAGTTTATATGAAGTAACAAAAGGTACAGAACAACCAGTATACAATATTAAGGGAGAAAAATAAGAGTACTGACATCTCAAAGCTTAGTAAAAAGATACATTTATCAATGACATATGGTATTGATGGAGACTATTAAAAACACTTGAAAGCAATAGGCTCCAGAAGTGTACCACATAAATAGAATTAAAAAACCTTAGACCAAGGAGCAAAGACATTATCACAGAGGAAAAGATAGTTTGTAACCAGCATATGGCCCTGGGAATATCCATATCCACATCCATACATATTTAAAAAATCTTGATATATACCTACTTCTTTAAACAATGAACTCAAAGAAAAAACATGGGATTTTAAAAAAATCACAGATGACATCTATACATCTACTGCTAAATCTAATACCTCTATATTCCTTAGGTACTTTTAATATCTACAAACCCAGAAAAGGGATATTTTAAAGTCTATTTCACAAATTACTAAAACGGCTTAAGTACAACCTTATATGATATCTGATCCCATAAAGCAAATTTTTAAGCTCTAATAAATATCTAAAATTAGTTCCTTTAGCACAATAATCCTTAATTCATAAAATAATTTTTCATTAAGCTATCAACTTAAGACTGCATAAATCTTAATAGTCCTAAGCATGTTCATAAAAGTAATACATAAATTAATTAATTAATTAAATAAATTTAAAAAATATTCAAGGATAATAAAAACCAAAACTCAAAATATTTCATGTTATTCCAGTATCTTTGATATACATATAAATCCTTTGTTTAAAATAATTGGCATGAATTTGTTTTACAAAATAATCCCATGTACAAATGATAAATCTAAGATTTACATCAAAGTTGAGATACATGCAAAATGATAAACACATCTTCATAAACTTTTGTTAAATATGTTTATGTTGCCTTTCCTTTTTTATAATTGAAATTTCATCAGAGACAACCCGACATTATTAGCATTAATAATGTAGGTAAGCTTACTTCATACACTTCTTTTAAAAAGCTATTCATTTAGTGACGCTAAAATAATATATTAGCAATAAATTTTAACTAACAATTGTGCCATTAATATGTAAGAACTATTTGCTGTGCTCTCCCCTCTTAAAAGAAACTAGACAAAACAGCTTTCTCTCCAATTCTCTTTCCTTGGTTATTTTAAGACCATAAAGACACAAGGATATAAAAAATAGTCTCCAAGACTGCTAACGGGTTTTGCTTGAGTTTCAAATGTACCTTCCTGTGCCTCCATTTGAAATACAGATATCTTGTTAAGAATCAAGAGTTTTCTAATTTTTGCCTGCTCAAATATATATATAACACTATAAGGAATATAATGTAGAATGAAAGATGCAAAATGTTATGAATGCAAAACATATCTCAGTGACAAGATTAAAAACATGATTTTTATATGGGAGAGGGTTTTATTGTAGATTTTATTGTAAGATGGAAGACTGTTCTAAAGTAAAACTAAAAAGAGACAGGATAAAATTGAAAGTTATCATGTATCAAAAAATGTTTTATAAAAGTGAAAATTTGGAAATGGCATACTGTGTCAATGAATTGGCTCAGTGGGTAAAGGCACCCAAAAACCTGAGTTTGATCCTCAGAATTCACATGCTAGAAGGAGAACTGGACTTTCACAAGTTATCCTATGAACTTCCACATGTATGTTATGGCACACAAAACCCTAACAAATACATACACACGCACATGTGCACACACACACACACACATACACACACCACAAGTAAATATGAAAGTATTGATTTATAAAAACTTGCTTAAAGAGAAAAGATGTTGTCTTAGAATAACTGTGAACACTTTCTAGTAAAGAAACTAAGTCTGAAAAGTATAAAGATTTGTTTAAAATTATTTGTCAAGCTTTGTCTTAATGCTATACAACTAACTATATTCATTCCATAATACTGTTGTAATTAACCGTCTGGGTACTCAATAACCACAGTTAGAGGCTCAAATAATGAGGTCATTGAGGTTAAAAGGAAAACCAATATGTTGGCCATTGCTCCAGTCTACAGATTACTAAGGGAGCAGGGGAGGAAGCTCCTCTAAGAGTGTCTTATAACTTCAATAAATGAGCTGTCTTCCTGATCATAAAGGACAAGGAGAGAGATTCAAAGTGTGGGCTGTGACCTGTGCACACTCCACTTGATGAGGACCATCACAAAAGGAAATACTTTCAGTGCTTCCAAGGAAAACCATGGTCAATGAGACCATGACCCATCCCAACCAGTGACATAACTTGTAAAGAGAAATTGAAAGAGCCAGAAAGGGTGGCAGATTTTCACTCCCAGTTTTCTGAGTACAGCACGGTTTAAAGATTCAATTTCTGTTTTATTGTTAGTTCTTAGAGGTGCCATGGACCAATGTCTGGTTTTGCTATGAGCCTTAGGTTCTGGTAACATGGCAATGTTAAATGCCCATGTATGTCTTTAGCATGTCACAATCCCCTGTGTGCCTCCATTTTCATCATTTGTCATTCTACTCTAGTTTCTGTGTCTATTGTACTTATCTATCTGCCCAATTCCCATTTTCCACTTACTTGTCTCCTTGAAGCCCAGTTCCTGACTTCAGGTTTTACTCCAGAGAGAAGTGAGAAAAGGTTGTGCCCCCTTTCTCAAGGCTGTCAGACAGCTAACCATCAGCTGAGGCTCAGATAGGGCTGTAGAAGGACAAGGGTTGAATTCCCTTGAGGACCAGGCACCTCCCTTTTCCTTCCTGTTCAGAGGTTTTGTTCCTTTCTTGCTTATATTTGTACTTGTGTCATGAGATCAGGGTCCCTTGTGTAAGAGCTTGTAATAGAAAACTTAAAAATGGTCTGAGGAAGAAATTTAAGGACAGATTTATTGGAGTTTTAGCGAAAAAACAAGGCATTCAGGGTGTCAATCTTAGTAGCTGCCAAGAGGAGGGGGGCTTGGTAAGAGGAAGAGGGCCATACTTTCAGAATCAGAGCTTGTTTAAAAAAAAAGAAGACAACCTCCCCAATAGTGTTAACAGTCTTGTAGTTACATCCTGTGCCCCAACAAGCCAGGTTCTGCCACCTATCCATGACAAGTCAAATAAAAGGGCCAAATTAATAGCAAAAAACAGAAAAATATTTTACTCAAGGTGGGCACATAGGGAAGAAGCATAAAGAGATTCAGAGACATCTCACCCTCCCTCATGTTCATCTTTGTTGTCCTTACAGGAAGTAAGTTTTCAAAAGAGATGCAGTATGGCCAAGGTGTGGCCCAGTGCCTACCATTGTCTCAGCTACAGTTTATCCTGTAAGATCACCTGCAAGGCAAGCCACTGGGAACTGTCCTGAGGGACTCTCCTAAACAGGTAATTTGGACTGTTAAGACCTTCTCTAGCTATGCTCAACAACCTTATGATGGCAGCACGCATAAAAAAAGGCATGGGAGAGGTAAAGTTTTGCTTTCTGATGCCTGTCTTCAAGCTGGAAGTTTGTCTTTTCTGCTTGTGTCATTGAAGCATTATTTTGCTTATATGAGAACCAGCTTTTGCAGGATTCTAACATAAACTGAAATCAGCAGGGTTGGATCTTTTGAGACATTCATCCTTATGGACTGATATATTTACTCAGCCTCTTTGGTCTGAGACAGCCATTATTGGACTAGCCAGACTGTATCATGTAAACTACCCTTTAATATATATTCATTCTGTTTTTTCCGTTCTTTTACAGAATCCTGACTAAGTATAACACTTAACAACCTATAACACTTAACAATCTTTCTCAGGAAGACAGCAAGTTCCAGGTCAGGAGCATACCATGCCAGAAATAGAAAAACACATCTGTGTCTTTTCCATAGTGTCAGAATTTATTAATAACAAATATCCATAAGGCTCCCCAATTTCAGTGACTACAATTTACCAGATAATGTCACCTATTTTGGTCACCTGGTAGTTGCAAATGCAGCTTCTTTTATCTGAATTTTAATTAATGAATATTAATTCTTATATCACACATCTCACAGCACATAATACATATCCTTACATATATACAGCTTACATAATGAAGTTTTGTTAAAGAGGTTACAGTGGAGAGCAAGAGGTTTGAGAAATGAGCTGAGAGAACTACAAACAGCATCTGTACTGAAAAGGCAAGGAACCCAAAACAAGCCAAGGGGAAGTCATGGTCCAGAGTCAGGCTTCTGGATAGAAGTCCAGCTGCAAGGGGAAAGGAACAGGAAATGGTGTGTTCAGGCCCATCAGGTGGGCATGTGATTGGGCAACATCAGCAGCAGGGGATCAAGCCAAACTCAAGCACCAGAAACAGTCAGAAATTCTCTGCTTGTTGGTCTCTGATGCACACAGCAGTTGTTGGAATGATAAGCTGGTTTGGAGGCCACAGCCATCATAGTGCTGAGTTTCTGCTGCTTTACGGTGAAAGAGTTATACACTTTCCTTTCTTTGGAAAGTTCTTGGACTGGTTTCTGTAGTAAGAATTTAATAAAAACACGTGCCCACTTAAAAGTAAAGAATGACATCTCCCTATGGGTACAAACATGTCAATTTGCTCATTTAAAGGTTAGTCCTATGGGGCTAGCCAACTACCTGGCCAGTGCACCCTCCCCCCATCCCAGGGAAGTGGAGCTACATTAAGCTACATTTAAGAGATAATAAGAATAATTTGATTATCCCTTTAGTGAGATAATGTTCTTTTCTTCCTAGAATTCCAACTCCTAGTGCAGTAGATAACAGATCCAAAGCTATACAGTTCCACCAGTCTGTTATCTTTACTGTAACTCTTCCATTGCTTTTTCCTCTCTCTCTCTCTCTCTCTCTCTCTCTCTCTCTCTCTCTCTCTCTCTCTCTCTCTCTCTCTCTCTCTGTGTGTGTGTGTGTGTGTGTGTGTGTGTGTGTGTCTGTGTGTCTGTGTGCACCTGTGTGCTTTTCGTGATACTTTTGGTTTCCCTTGTTTTCTAAAGCTGCCCTTCCTGCCATGTGGTTGTTTATTGACCATGTGGTTGCTGACCTCCAAGCCACAAAACTGTAAGGGATTTTTTTTCCTCTCTGCTCCAAGATTTACAGCTTGTCTACCCTGTGATTATTCTTTTCAATTCAAATAAAATGACCTTCTTTTTGATTCCATTCTTAAATTATTTTATTAAAGAGATAAAGAACCCCAAGAGGATACCCCAACTCTTAATAACTACATTTTGATATATATATATATATATATATAGTGATACCTTTCCCACTCCCAGAAAACATGTGCAGATGGCTCATTGAATTAAAAAAAAATTGAATTAAAAAACAATGAGGACATGATCCTCCAAATTACGTGGAGGAGAAGGTTTATTGTAGATTTGAGGGAGAAAACAGACAGAAGCACCAAGAAGTGTCCATGCTAAACTGGGCTATGGAGGTTGGCAAGAGAGGAAGAGAAGAGAGAGGGAGGAAAGAGCACATCTGTGAACATAGAGAGCAAAGGGCAAAAAGACTGTGCTTGTCCAAAATGGCTTAGATTAGACAGGGAAGAGAAACTGGGCAAAGGAAAGCAGAGGCCCAGATCAGGAATTGGAGAGATTCATAGTAGGGGATGGGATTGAGAAGAGCCTGGACTCAGCAGCAGGTAGTTGTGATCCTGGGGTATGCTGAGAGAACCTGGCAGCCATGTCTGCTTTGATATGTTAAACAGGCACCCCAGCTGGCCATTTGTCAGGAAGTCTGAAACTTTATACTAGTCACACCAGTGTTGTTTAGTCCTCCTAGTAGTGCAAGCACCTTCCATTATCAAAATGGAATCCAAAGTTGCTTTTGAAATGGACTCTTTCAGGACAAGGAACAACATTTAAAACCCAGGCTGTAGTTCATTCATTCATTTGCACACACACACACACACACACACACACACACACACACACACACACACACACACAGAGCTTTTTTTTTCTATTTACACTTTCCAGATAATTCTAGTGAAACTTCAGAGAATAAAGGAGAAAATATCGCATGTTCTTTCCTTTTCTGAATGTTTTATCTTTCTGCTTTCTGCCAAGTCTTACATTAGTGCTTCTGTGCTTTAGTCATCAAATACTATGATCCAAAAAGAGTTAGGATCTGTTTTATACGCCTCAGATTTCAGAGAATGAGACAACACTCTCTGGGGACCCTGGTATCCTGCTTTATGAAGCAGACAAAGACTTATTTCCACAGTACAGCTCTGCTGATGCAAAGCAAACAAAAAACAGAACCACACTAAAAACAAAACAAACGCTCTTACCTCAAGGGATGCAGATAATTTATTGTGTACCTAAACACGAGTGACCATGGCCCAGGGATGATTCAGCTTCTTTCAAATATTGTGTTCCAATATGGTAGCTGTTCAATGAAGTTTTCACAGTCATAGAACAAGGAAAATCATGAATCAATTCACTTTTCAACACATTGGCAGACTACATCAAAGTGAGGAAATCTCTGCCTTGGGCTTCAGATCCTATCTGGTGACATTTTTTAACCTTTGAGTTGATAGAAGCTAGAGGTTTGCTTGCAATTTCTGAAATACTTATCTCATAGTTACAAGATTGCTAGGTGAAACACAGAGGTAGACATGAACGACTGTTTAAGGGCTAAGATAGCCCAAGATAACATGACATATTGCATTCCAACTCTCCAAAGTAACTGGAGTTCTAACCAATCTGCCTTGAAGAAAACTTAATATAGGTGCAGCCTCCCCCTACCCTGCCTTCCACTAGAAACTTCAGTTAATAGTTCCTCTTATCGTTTAAGTCGCCCATGCCCTTCTACTGAACAGACACATTAAGTTTCATTTCTTAGTCAAAGCTCATTTCTCAGAAATGCTTGTTCATAACCACAAATGAAAGTAGTGTTGTCAGTCAAATAGATGTCTATTGATTAACAGAATTTTTGTTGTTGTTGTTTTGTTTTGTTTTTAAGCTATTTTTCTATACTTTCCTGTTTCTTTTATTTTGCTATTACTTCCCAAACTTATACTCCATTTGAAGCTCTGAAATAAGAAAACTTGGTAGCTCAGTCTATTGTCTGTTATATTTAAGTGTTGTGGAAGCTTACCTAGTCCTCAACACTATTTTTTGTGGAGGCTGGCATGCTATGTATTTAGAGCCAGCATTAAAGGAAAAAGTTCTGTACTCCATCTATCCCAGAGTGAGCTGGGTCCTAAAGACTTCTTTAGATAGCAGCTGTGCTGGTTAGAATACTGGTTAGAAGCATGGAGCAAGGTATTTTCTCTGGTGAGAGCCAAGTGCCTGCTTATGTTAATCCCACTGGTTGAGAATAAGACTGCTACCACAATTTAAAGTCAGATTTGAAGCCAGCTTTAATTAAATACTGGCCAGGTTGATGGACTCTGGCCAGGACTGTACCCAGTTTCCCAGGAAATGGCCCTAGTCAAGTTTTGCAGGGGCTTAAGTATTTCCCACTAAGTCCAGTCATGGGCAAGCATACATCCTGATGTTTCTCCAGCCTACATTTAATGATGAGCAAGCTTGTTTCCTGCCTGTGAGCCTGCTGTCCACATGTGATCAAGCCAGGAAACATCCTGGCTTGTTTCCTGCCTGTGAGCCTGCTGTCCACATGTGATCAAGCATATCCAGTGAAGATGGGTCAAAGAAACTTGTGTAGGGAAGTGAAAATCTATGGCTTGTTATATCTCATAAGCAATACTCTCCTTCATTTCAGTAACTATCTGTCCTTGGA